CTAGGAATTTAATGGAGGTAGGCATATGAATAAGATAGGATATGTCATTCTTGTATGCTAAAGGAGTTATCACATTGCACTTCAATAAATGTCTGCTAAAAAAATCTATTGCCATAGTAGGAGTACACCAATAGAGTATAGTTGGTCTACTATAAGAGCATAATTGGTCTACTATAAGAGCTAAGACATTTGGGAATCAAAGAAAAATTACATGATCATAATTGAAAAAGACTAATAACCAAGTTTGAGATCACATTGGGATAAGTTGACATGAAGATTGAATTGTATGGTAACCATGCAGGTGAAAGGTAATAATGGATTAACTAATCCTTCTAAAGAATTGGATAGTCATGATGCCTTGCTAGAGGCCAATCTTGATTTATGTATCAAGAGATTAAAGAGAAATCTTTTATTCTTGATACATTTTCAACATATCTAGGAGCCTATTGAGTCACACGCATAATTTTAAGTATTCACATTACAAATGAGAAGCAAAGATATTGAAAAAATTTTCCAATTATAAAAGTTTCCTATTTTGGAAAGAGTTTCCAAAATGGAAAGTTTTCAAAAATGAAAAGTTTTCTATTTTAGAAATCGGTTTCCTAATTTGGAAATTAGTTTCAAATTTGGAAATAAAGAACCTAAAAAGAAAGGAGTTTCCTAATTTAGGTTAAAGGGTATTTTGAAAAATTATTTTCTAATGTGGACCCCGCCAAAATAATCTAAGAATATTTATTTAGATAGTCCAAATAAATTAATTGGGCTAAAATAGTTTTGGCCCATTAGATTTAATTAAAAAGCTTAAAGATAATTTTGGTGGGACGATAAACATCAATCTTATTAGATAAGGTTGAATGTTTTAAACATAAACATCAATCTTATTAGATAAGGTTGAATATTTTAAACATAAACATCAATCTTATTGGATAAGGTTGAATGTTTTAAAGATAATAATCAAATAGTCCATATATAAAATAACTCATCATCCTCGAAGGATAAGGAAGCAACAATCTATAGTCCTTTATGGACTCATAGCCGCCACTCTCCTTATCCTTGAAGGACAAAGAAACTCTCCTATAAATATATATAAGAGAGAGAAAATTCGGATAACACAAGAAAGGAAAAAAGAGAGAAAATTTGGCCAACCTAAAATCACCTAGGGCACATGGTCAAGAGAGAAAATAAAGGAGAAAATAGTTTTCTCCTAAGCCCTAGCAAGAAATATTCTTTCTTTCTCTTTTAAGGTTGTCGTAAAAGTTACACGAGATTGATTTTTAGAGGAAATACAAAATCAAAAAAGGTAGAGCTAGCACCCCATTAATTTTGAGTACTTTTTTATGGATACTTGGACTCGCTCGGATCATCAATAGAGGCCGAACACTTGGACGGCTTTGTTGGAAAAGAGTTTAGATCTACACCATAAGAGGTAATCCTTTATTTATAGCTTATAATTCATGTATGTATGGTTAGTAGATTCAACGGCTTGATCTCGAGGCATTAGATGGAGGAAAATTTTTATTTATTCTCCACCTCCATAGGATGTATGATCCTTCAGAAGGTTACACCAGCTTTTTCCTCCCTTTCAAGCTTGATGGAGTGATTTGAAATGATTTTGGTGGCAATCAAAACCAAAATGTCATTAAGGGCGCATTCAACATTGACATAAAAGGCAGTTTAGACATTCCTAGGAGGACATTTTAGTCATTTTGATTAATTAGGTGAGTTTTTGACAATTTTGCATTGCTTTTATGTTTATTTGAATTTAAATGCATATGGATGGATGTTGAAAATAATTATGATTTTTGTGGATTGATTGATATTTAAAGTGTGATTAAAATACGCTATTACGTATATTGAGTAGTAATAAAGTCGGTTTCAATGCTCTACGATGGAGTCGAAAGAACTAGACATAGATTTTAATTCAAATGGTTTATCCAAGATGAGTACCAGTCTTGGTGGACGCAATTGAGCATGCTCGTGTTGTTTTTGATATATGATTGATTAAATGCAATATGTTGCTTGTATGGTGTAGGTGATTAAATGTAATGTGTGTGTCGGCAATAACTAGGAAAAAGATAAAAAAAGAGAGGCAAAAGTAGCAAAATTGGAAAAAATTGTTGACATTAGCAAACACAATGGTAAAAATGACAAAAGAGATATAAATAGAAAAAATGACAAAATTGGTAAAAATCATTAAAGTTAGCATAAAAAGATCCAAAAACGAGATTCAAATCAACACGACTTCAAATGTCATTATTGTTTAGACAAATAATTTTGACAAGTAAAATTGATATGGTAGGCAATGTTGGCATGAACGATCCAAATCCGAGCATGGACCGATATGACTTAAAAGTCATGATTTTCTAAAATGACATTTTAGAAAAAATAGACAAAAATAGTCCAAATAGAGGTTCAAATCAACACCACTTTTTTTTTTTTTTTTTTTTTTTTTTTTTTTTTTTTAAGGGTAGTACCTTGTTAGTTTTATTGATTTAAAAAATTAAGAAACAAGAGGGGACAATCCAACCTAGCTCATCAACTGAGAGGAGAATGAAGCCTGAACCTCTAATGAATTAAGAGTTACAACTCTGTAAACTAAAAAACTAAAAATAAAAAATCTCAATGCTATCTACCAACTCAATAAAAGCTAAGCACATATAATTTTCACGTAAAGAGCATGAATAAACAGAAATCAAATAGTCCTATGCATGACCTTTTCTTTTTTTTTTTTTTTAAAAAAAAACCTTCCTTGTGCCTTCTATAGACTTCTGTTACTTGCGCCAGTTTTAGCTAGCATCGTCTGAAACGTGGTACCCCAATCTATCCTCCCTTAATGCAGCTCACACCTATGTAGGAGCTATGGCTTCTTCCTCATATAACACTTGGCTTCCGTGGGAGTATACTTGGCTTGCCAAGCTATCTGCTACTCCATTCCCCTCTCTAAATACATGTGCAATCTTTCATTCCCCTAGCAGATACTTACATCTGCAAAGAGAATAAGTTAACCACCATGCATTTACTTGAAGACCTGCTATTGAATCCACAAGGGTTTTTGAGTCCACTTACACAATCTTCACCTGAATATTCTTATCTCTCCATAACATCAATCCCTTCAATAAAGCCAAAACTTTACCTTTTAAGCTAGTTCCTGTGTCATATGAGGATGAGTAACTAAACAGAAGTTTTCCCCACCAGTCCCTCACCACTTTACCTCCTGAACATAATCCTTCTCTCGATGAACCATCATAGTTTAATTTGTAGGTGTGAATTGGAGGGTGAATCCATGCAATCCATTTCCCTTATATCAGAGCAATAGCATTCAGCTAGATGCCTAAGACACGGATACAGAATTGGTCATGGAAGTTTAATTTGGATTTTGGAGTGAAAAATGATTGTAACTCATGTCACCATTTTGTGACTCTAAAAATTATGGCAAGTGTGTGCATTGTAACACCATAAAAAAAAGGCTCGATTTCTTACATTCCAGATCTGCCAAGTGCAGCAGTGGAAAATCACCATTTTGTTGAAGCCTTTCTGATTAATAGGTCCCATTAATCCTAACCAAACAAACACTAGAAACCCTATATTGTTTCTCACTAGAGTTGTGTCCAATATATTAGCAAAATGATCCCATACCGATTTTGCTACTGCTCCTTCCACAAATAAATGCTTTAATGTTTCTATGGATGGACTACTGCAGCAGTGACAGCAAGAGGGTAAAACCACTCCATATTTCTTTATCATGCTATCAATTGCCACTCCACCTTTGATCACTTTCTAAGACATGATAGAGAATTTCGTCGAGATCCATTTGTTCCAGACTTACTTCCACCATGGAACATATGTCCCTGTAAGTTTTATGTGCTCCCTAAAAGTTGCCATTCTGAAATTGCCATCTGCTGAATGCTTGTAAATTGATTTACCCTTCTCATTTGGTTGAATACAAATGGCTCGTATGAATTCCTCACTGAAGCAGATAAATCAGCCAACACATTTCTATTGTTCATGATTTCTCTCACCGAGGTGTTTACCCATTGTCCTAAGTCCTCCCTAGAACCATGCCATTTTTCTAGTGTTGCAGCTCCATCTCCCACTAATCATTCTGAATTTTCTCCAACGAACGAGATGTGAGGAAGAAGGCTTCTCCAAATGAGAGAGCCCTCTCTTTCTGCCGGAACTATAGTGTTTGGTGTGTCGTATTTTGATGTAACAAAGCTAGCCCAAAGGGAGGACCTTTGCAAATAAGCCCAAGCTAATTTTCTTTTCATAGCTTATAGTACTTCATGTAAGTTCTTAACTCCTAGTCCTCCTTCATCATACGGTTTGGCAATAGTTTCCTAGCTGATCCAGTGGTGCCTATTTTGTTCTCCACTACTCCAGAAAAAATTTACAATCCTATTTTAGATGTGCGCAATTATTTTCTTTGGGACTGGCATGACTGCCATTGTATAGATAGGAATCAATTCAAGCACGGATTGAATTAGAGTTAATTTTCCTCCCACTAAAGCAGCTTCTCTTTCCATCCTACTAGTTTACTATTAATTTTATCTTCTAACGGCTGAAAGTAAGACATTTTAACTCAACCCATGAAGAAAGGAATTCCCAAGTATAGAATAGGTGGCTGAACATGGTTAAATCTTGTCCACCTCTCTATCATTTTGATTCTGTTAACTGGTAGTTTATCGATATAAAGAAAACCATTTTTCTCAACATTCACCATCTGACCACTACAAGCACAGTACCTCTTAAGCAGACACATTAGATTGTTAACTGAAGAGAAGCATATCATCTGTAAAAAGTAGATGGTTCACATTAATAATCGACCGTCCTGCTCGATAAGGCATAATCTTTCCTGTCTCCACTTGGGAATTTAAATTTCTGCTTAGGACGAGTCAAGATAAATAAAGCTGGTGATAAAGAATCTCCTTATCGAACACTGCTCCCAGATCAAAAGAAACCATATGAATTGCCATTCAGCATTATAAAGTATCTGCAATTATTTAGACACCTGATGATAATTGCACACCATTATTCTGATCCACAGTCACTAGCTTGGGAACCACCGTCAAAAGCTCATCTAGATTCTCTACCGAGTTACTCTGCAGCAGGTCTTGAAAATAATTTACTACATCATTACCCAAAACTACATCATTAGTACATATTATATTATTTATTTTTAATGCAGTCTTACCTTGCTGTTGATGATTTCGTAAACTAGCATGAAAGAAAAAATAATTCCTATCCCCCATTTGAAGCCATCTTACTCTAGCTTTCTCTCAAAGAAAAATTTCTTTCTAAAGAACTATAGCTACCAAATGAGTTTTAACCGCCATTTATTCATGCATAGTCTCCTCCGTGTTATGTATAATGTGTTCAGCTTCCTTACGAACAACTTCATCTTCTGCTTCAAACAGTCACTTATGAATGTTGCCATACACCTCTCAATTCCATGATCAGAGAGCTTTCCTCAAACCCTTTAAATTTAGATGAAAGTTTGTAAAGGAATTTTGAGTATCATGTTGACACCAATGTCGTTTAACCATTACTTGAAAATCCTCATAGTCTATCCACATCTGTTTAAAAGTGAACCTAGAAGTCCTCTCTTTAAAAGATACAAACAGAGGTTAGTGATCTGAAGAGGCTCTAGGCAGATGAGCACATTTTAGCAAAGGCATATTTATCTAGAAGTGAACATTCACCAAACATCTGTCCAGCCTCTCTCAAATTTTCGTAACTTCTGCTTGATTATTAATCCATGTAAAAATATTACCTGTGAAGCCAACATTCACTAAACCACCTTGCAGTATGAAGTTAAGAAATTCCTCCATAGCATCCGAATATGGGGGGTGTACACCTACTTTCTCAAGGGATGCAGAAATACTATTGAAATCCTCACCCACCAGCCAAGGGGAGGAGGCATTTATACTCAGCAAATAAGACCACAAATCCCTACGAGAAATTTTGTCACATTCTCTCTCTCTCTCTCTCTCTCTCTATATATATATATATAAGAAAACAAAATATCTTCCCACATGTCACTATTTGATACTGTTACCTTCACTGCCTGACTACAAGAATTGTGTAATGAAATATTCTTGATTTTTGATAGGATCTATATATGTGTATTGACTGGATTATTATACAAGCAGAAATCAAACTTTAGAAATCTTTCTAATTTTGTAATTTTTCCTCCATGTAACTTCGGTTCAATAATAATAAGAAAGTTGACTTTATGCATTCTGACAAGTCCTTTAAGGTACCTTCTTTTCTCAAGATAGTTAATGCCTCTAGCATTCCGTATGAGACAACTCATTAAGAAACAGAAAGAGAGGAGTTACCATTTTGATCCTTAGTGGATCCAGTGCTGCGTTAGAGGGAAGTACCTGTGAATGTCACTTTTTTAGCCTTCTTTTTCTGGTACTTTGGAACCTCAAAATTATCATCCGCTGCCTCTAATGTACGAGAGACGAGGGAAGATTCTCCATCCTTGCATTTCATAGATGTCCCATGCAATACAGATTTTTGGTTTTTTGCCATAGCTGGTACACCTACACCTTCTTCCGCTGGCGGCATCCTTTCTTCTAAGCTAGACAATGGCCCAGGATCGGAGTTGGAGGTTCTCAATATCTCAAATTTATTACTGCCTATATGCAAATTACGTGGCATGGGTTTTTAAGTTTCCCCAAAGCTTGATTCTGCGTCTTCTTGTAACTGTTCTATCGTGGCTTGTTGCACATGATAGTTTGAACCACCTATCTCTGTATCTGCTATTTCCTCTTCTCGATCTTCGTCTTCACTTGAAGATGATGAACGGGCAACTACACTCATTAATTTAGATTGTGCATTGGCTGTTGCATCTGTCCTGGTTGTTCTATTTTGTTCTATCAATATCTGTTTGTGCTTCTCATTTTGGATAATGATTTCCACATCAGAGATTTATTTTAGCTGAGTTTTTACTACTTTTGATACTATTATATCCTGATAAGTAGCAACATCATTCTTCTTTATAGTGCCCGAGCTTTGCCCTTTTTCTTTCCAAGTCCTCATTTTTCTTGCATTTGGAATATTTGGAACTACTGTAACTCTGTAAGAGAGGTTTTGGGACTTATAGGATGATCCTGCTGGTGTGCTTTCAGAGGTTGTGCCATTGCTGAAGTGGTTTTCTTCCTACATTACGTATGAATGTGTTATTGCAAGTGATAATAGGTGCAATAGGATAGATTTCCTTCATATATTATCTTTTGCCAGAAACCATTGCTTTTATCAGTACCCACTGAAATCTAGACCTCCTTTGGAAGTTGTGAAGCCAAGTCTAACGCTACACATACCCGTACATGATTTGGATGGGAAACATTAGCCGTTCTTATCAGTTTTGAGGAACCTCCCGAATGAGTTAACTATTTCCTTTAGAATTCCTTTAGGAAAAAATGATATTGGCAAGTAAGGGAGCCTCACCCAAGTAGTTGTAAGTGAGGATTCCTTATTTGATCGAAAACTTGGTTCCCATCTGAATAAACGAAACGGAGAGGATTGGATATCAAGTTGTCAACTGACCATGCCTTAGCAAAATCTTCTTCTGAAAAGGTTTGAATAATAGCATGCCTAGGACCCAATAATCCTACAATAGGATCTATTTCTAGACCCCAATTCTGAATAATACAATCCCTGATCGTGCTTCTGGGGGGCTGATTCCCACAAATTTAGCCACCGGTGTGTGTTCAAATAGCTTCTCAGCCTGCTAGATTTTTGATGAGGAGAAGTTCACCGTCGATTTTCCATCCAGTGCTGTAAGTTGACGAGAGGCAATCTCCAGGTTCATTAATACGCCATTGTTGTCTGGTTTTTTAGACTTGACAGAGGATACTATTTTTACAAAGGATGTTTGTTTTAGAGGAATGGGTTTTTGGTTAGTGTTTACTAGCAATGGTGGGAAGGTAGTGGTTAGATCAGTTATGAGGGCAGGGAGGGGGCTGATCCCCCATCGGAGTGGTCGACTGCCGGCCTAAGGCTGGATAGCATCAAAAGGAAAGGTTGCAGGGGCTTTTTATAATTTTAGAGCTATTCTATGAATCCATTAATACAATCAGCACCACTCAAACATCACTTTTTTATTTTTATTTTTGATAAATTGGCACAATATTTATTAGTCATCACATTGGCAAAAATGGTAAAAAAACAAGGTTCTGACTAGTGTGATCAAAATTATATTTTTATACAAATTGACGAATTAAATATTGTTATTAAAAAAAATGGTCTACAAATGGGATTCATACCAATGCAATGCAATCACACAAGCAACAATAAAAAAAATTATAAGATAATAAGCATATTAGTCAAACAATATGCATTCATAATAGTACTTTCAATTAACTTATAATCACACCAGCCCAAATTAAAGGTTAAAAATAGAATACGTGCTAAGTTGTGAAAAGACCAAAAAAAAATTATTATCAAATTAGGGTTATTTCGACCTTTTCAACCTCAATGGAGATTGGTTATTCGATTAACTGGAGAGGAGAGACGATTGCCCAAGTTCCGAATCGAATAGCTACTACTAGAACGAGTTACTAGGTCATAACTACTTGAGAGGTTGGATCGAGTCGCTGGTTGTGGTGGCCTTGTTGGGGTGGTTAGACTAGCCTATTATAACTTTTGAAAGGTAGATCGGACTATTGGAGGGGGTTAGACTAGGCGAGTTGTTGCTACTAGACTAGGTTACTATAAATTGGTGAGGAAAGGCTAAATCAAACCACTAGATTGCATTAGAGGGTTGCTATTGATCGATTTGGATAAGCTAGATTAGGATGAAGGGGTCATTATAGGTGGAACAACATCCGGTGTGGTAGTTGGAAGGAGATTTGAGGTTACTCGTTGGTGGAACGAGAATCGGATGTAGTGGTTGAAAGGAGATCATGTAGCCGGAGGCTACTCGGATAGGGTGAGGATTGGGCTCGATATTATGTAAAGAGCTAGATCAATTTAGGTCGAGGTTGTCGATTGCGTACGGGGCTACTAGACGTGGAGTGGCTATCAACTATTGGTGGAGGAAAAGGACAATCGATCGAATTTTAAGAGAGAGGAAGTTGGTTGGAATTTGCTTTAGAGAAAGGAAGTGACTGGTTTGAGGAGTGAGAAAGTGGGTTATTTGTACTCGGTTTTTTAAGGTTTTTGGTTGAAGTTCGGTTTGGTCTCTCATCTTGCTAGCTTGTCTTATTTTGGTATTTTTTTTTCAATTGCATCCCTCGATTGCATTTTTTAATCCTTTTTCTCTCTCCTTTCTTTTTTATTTTTTATATTTTTTTGGGAGGAAAATTTAGTTGTTAACGAGTTGCTCCCTCTTTACAATGGTCATAGTGCGGAGCCATTGAAAAATGAATTTTTTTTTAGTTTTGCACGAACATATATCCCGTGCGTTGCGACGAGGTGAGCTATACAATATTCTTATGTATTTATTCATATAAAATTTTAAAATAATTATGTAAAACGATCATGCGAAAAAAAATTCGATGTGAGTTATATAACATTCTTATCTATTCATTCATATAAAATACAAAATTTAAAAATAATTATTTAAAAGGATCACGGAAAAAAATTAAAAAAAGAATCAAAACATATATCTTATATTTTGCGGTAGGGTTAGCTAAATGAAAAGTTTGCGAGCAAAGTTGAGTAATATAATGTTGCTAATTAGATATTGTTTGATATAAACATGTATTTTATTAGAAATATGTATAATAAATAGTAATTAAAATAACAATGTGGTAGTTTTTTGAATTTGAGATTGATTTTTACAATATATTCTTCATTAGTAATTTATTAATGAGATAGAGAGACCACCCAAAAAAAAAGATAAAAGACTTTGTCAAATCGAGAATTAGGCAAAAAAAAAAAAAAAATAGAGATAAAATTACACACAATCAAAATTAAATGATAAAAAAAAAGTAAAGATCATAAAAGAATGATAACAAAAACTTTCACTAAAAAAAAAAAAACTTATAAACAATAAGACTCGTGAATAGTTTTACTAAAAGTCAAGAAAAAAATATTTATTATAGGGATAAAAATCAAATATGATAAAATTTTAATATTTATTATAAGGAAAAAATCAAATATAATAAAATTTAAATGCCTAAAGTAATAAAAGGTTACAAAACATGAACTAAAATAAAAATAAAAATAAAAATTGCTAAAAGCCAAAAAAAGGGCTTAAAAAATACAGGAAGAGGAAAAAAAGATTTACTATAGGAATAAAAATTAAATATAATAAAATTTTAATGATCAAAATAAAAAAAAAGTTACAAAAAAGGGACTAAAAAAAAAATTTTAATATGTATTATAGGGACAAAAATGAAATATAATAAAATTTTAATAACTATAACAAAAAAATTACAAAATATGGATTAAAATAAAAATAAAATTCACTAAAAGCCAAAAGAAGAGATTAAAAAATGCAACAAGAGGAACAAAAAAGCTGATTTATTATAGAACTTAAATAAAATGTAATAAAATTTTAATGGTTAAAATAAAAAAAAGTTACGAGAATAGGGATTAAAATATAAAATTAATTTAAAGCCAAAAGAGAGGCTTTAAAAAAAATAAAAAACCAAGCTACGGGCAAGGCAAGGCAATGGGAAAAAAAAGAAAGAAAGAGAGAGAGAGAGAAAAAACCCTTGCTATAGGCAAGGCGAAAAAAAAAAGAAAAAAAGAAAAAAGAAGAAAAAGAAGTAGTGAACGAGTGAATGAACGAGTTAAAAACGCTACAATACTTTAGCGTTTTGTTTTAGTTTTGTTGTTTTTTTTTGTAATAGTAAGCTTATAAAGAAAATCATAGAAGAGTTGCACATAAACAAAACAATAACCAAGTAAATAAATCAATCAATGAGGTCAAATGATGAATGATTTTCCTTAAAATCACTAGTCAATTATGGGTGACTTTTTTCAAAACATATGTTAATACGACTAACCATCCTCGAGGTCAAAGAGGTGACCTTCTCTTGATAATTTTTTAGAGCTAATAATCATCCCCAAAGTAAAAAAGGTGACCTTCCCTTAGTAATTGGTTAATACGGTAGCCATCTTTGAGGTCAAAGAGGTGATTTCCCTTGGCAATTGGTTAATACGAGTAACCATTCTTGAGATGAAAAATGTAATCTTTCCTTGACAATTGGTTAATGCAAGTAACCATCCACAAGGTCAAAGAGGTCATTTTCCCTTGGAAATTGGTTAATGTAGGTAACCATCCTCGAGGTCAAAGAGGTGACCTTCCCTTGGCAATTGGTTAATGTAGGTAACCATCCTCAAGGTAAAAAAGTGACCATTGTTTGGCAATTATGTAATACGGGTAACTATCCTCGAGGTTAAAATGGTGGCATTTGCTTGACAATTGGTTAATATGCATAACCATCAATGAGGTAAAAAAGCCGACATTTTCTTAGCAATTGGTTAATGTGGTAACCATCATCGAGGTAAAAAAGGTTGACCTTCCCTTGGTAATTGGTTAATACAAGTAACCATCTCTAACGTTAAAAAGGTGACCTCCCTTTGACAATTGGTTAATACGGGTAATCATTATTGAGGTAAAAAATATGACCTTTTCTTGATAATTGGTTAATATGGCTAGCCATCTCCGAGGTTAAAAAGGAGATCTTCTTTTAGTAATTGATTAATACGAGTAACCATTCCCAAGGTCAAAAAGGTGACCTTTCTTTAGTAATGCAAGAGAGCACAAGCGACATACCTTTCTATCATTAAAGAAAAATAAATTTTCACAACCAAAATGTAAACTTTCCCCTCTTCTTCTTATTTGTAAGTCATCACTATCCGAGTAG